AAATTAATCAAAGATAGATATAAAGAGGTTGTATAAAAAAGTATCGAATCTAACTTAAAAATAACAATACATTTTATAAGACAATTAAATAACGTATACTTAAAAATTATATTCAAGTCGTATACTAAACAACAGTGCTTATAACCAAGTAAACTAAAAAGGAAAGAAAATACCTTTTTATAGATTTTCAAACCTTTTGATTGTATTTCCACGTAGACAAATGTTCAAGTTACAATTTAATTTACTTTTTTCTTGCTTGATTAAAAGCGATATCTGGTTACACTCTCACTTTTCGAAATCGGTGGTTAAATTTTCTTCTTTTTTATATATTTTCAAACCTTTTGATAGTATTTCCACGTAGACAAATGTTCAAGTTACAATTTAATTTACTTTTTTCTCGCTTGATTAAAAGCAATATCTGGTTACACTCTGACCTCTGCTTTGGAATATTGTTGTTGAAAAATTCCTAACATTACTTGTTTTTTAAAATATAGGTAGTAGACCTTTTTACCCGCGGACCTTTGAGACTATCCTATGATATTCGTGCATGACTTCATACATATGTAGCTATAGCAGAAATGCAAAAACTGAAAAAAATGCACAATAAAAGTGCACAGATTTCATATTTTGAAGTCTATAAAAAAAATATTGAAATTAAAAGGTAATTTATGTTGGTCAAATGAATTAAGATTTCATAAATTTATGATACCTGGTTGACATTTAAAACGTTTCATTATTCGTGTTTATAAATAGTGTGTTTTTTTTTCAAAAGTAAATAGATATTTAAGTACGGAATATTGTTTATTCATTAAGTTTAAGCATTTTGTATATTCTTACTTAGAAATTCTACGTTTAGTATACTTAGAGTCCATTTACAAAAAAAATCAATATTTATTTTTACATTATTTACATAATATTATAATATATACCGACATGATTATCTGTAGCTTGATTCCCAACCAAAAATCAAAAGCGTAATTACATATAAATAGTTAAAGCTTGCAGTTTAAGCTTAATGTTAAATTCATAAGAAATATTTTATATTAGAAAATATGATTTTTTACGAACAAGTGAAATAAAGCCGGATGATATTAACTTGCATTTTACTAAATCACAGTTTACATTTTTATTAAACAATGTGATTTCTATGTTATATAACATAATATCTAGAAGCTATAGAAGCATTCATTAATTGCGTGAAGTCTTTTGACAAAGCATATTGAAATTGCATAACAAAGCAGCAAGTATTAAAAATACGAAAATGCAAAATATTCCTGAAACAGAAAAAAATACTGAATTTTCCTCATGACAATGCCAATATAAATAAGAGATTCGCATAAATTAAAAAAAAAATTAAGAACTTACTATATCTTTTACAACTATTTAATTTGTTGAAGTTAAAGAGTAAAAAAAATTTAAAAAATTTGAAAAGTGTTATGTATGATGGAACTCGCTTTTTCACCTATAAATATATTATTCAAATACTACTGTTACTTTGTTATGCAGCTATTCTTCATAAACTTAAGAAAAATTCATAACATATTTTACAAAATATTATTCTCAAACATTGTGCAAGTAGTATTCACTTATAAAAAGAGATATGTGTATCTTTTTTAGAAACGTAATGCTATATATGTTTCCAAGTGAAAACCATTGTCACGACTGCTTGAAAATAGTCTGCACGAAGCAGGATCGAATCCAAGACCTCTGATTCAGATTCAGATCTGGTCGTTCTAGCCACTTACCTACAAGCGAGCCTTAAATGTAAAACTTATACAGAAAAATTTGGCGTAATTAATAAATATTCCTTCAGCAATAATAATGTGGATTTCATTTTATTGATTTCATGTTCTCTAATAATCTTCAGTCGTATAGTACGGAATTTAATCGCGCTTGTAAATACCAATAGTTAAGATCACAAAATTTAAAAAATGATTTAAATATAATAACCACGGCGTTGGAATAGGCGAGCCGAGGGTTGTTGTAACAGTTTTTTTTAATTAATTTATCTTGAGATCCTCTTATTATATTTCTACGAAATAAAGATGTACAGATGTTGTAGCTATTCCTCTATCAAATCAAGTAAATGTGATTCCATAACTATTGTTTATTATTTCGCAATTAATTAATATCTAGAAAAAGTGTAGTTATACGATTTTCCTTGTGTTTGGGGCTAGTTGTAACATCTACCGGAGAAAGTAGTAACGACAAATGAACGAAAATATTATATCTGATAAATTATAATTTGCTCATTTTTGAAAAAATAACAGGTAAATTAAATCAACATTAACCATTTAACGCAATATATATATATATATATATATATATATATATATATATGTGAATATCACATATTTCAACATCAAAATTATATAAAAAATTTAATATATATATATATATATATATATATATATATATACAGGGTGGCTGATATGTATTGCAACCAATTTCAGACCGCTATCATTTCTAAACCGCTCATCAGACAGATGACAGATTTATTCCAGTGATTGTTTATTTAATTGTTTACAAGCGTACAAGAGCATTTTGATCTATTGCATTTACAAAAAAAGTTATTCGTGATGGAAGTCAAGCGTGATAGTGCGATTGCTTCATACTTGGCTGAAAAGCCTTAGGTGGCTTTCGAGCCCTCCAGTATTTAAATGCGAACAAATATTTTGTTTCTCGTACCATATCTCGTTACCGTGATACACTCAGTGTTGCACCGCGTCCAAAAAGTGGACGAAAAAAAACACTAACAACCCCAGAAATGATCCAAAATTATAGGCAAAAATCAATCGAAATTCGTGTCGCAATGGTAAAAAAATGGCCCGTGAGCTGAACATATCGCAAAAACGGATGCAACACATATTGAAAAATGAGCTTGAAGTAAAACCATTGAAGATCCAAAAAGTGCAAGAGCTCATTGATGCACAAAAAAAAGTTAGACGGAAAGAAGCGAAGGGGTTGCTTCGCTTGCACGAAAGTGGCTAGTTACCGAATTTGGTTTTCTCAGATGGGAAGTCCTTCCAAATCGAGCAGTTTGTGAACAAACAAAATGATAGGGTTTACTTGTTAAAAAGGTCAGCTAAAAATTTACACCTTCGATTGGCCACCAGAACTCGAGCGCCGCCGACGGTAATGGTGTGAACCACCGTAACGACCGATGGTGACATTCCCCTCTTATTCTAATGAATAGCGGTGGGATCAAAATAATTGCCCAAATTATTGGGAAAATGTCTTAAAGGCAGTACTGAAGTCCTGGGTAAACAAAAATTTTGATCGCAGACCATGGTCATTCCAACAGGACTCAGCACCATCAAACTCAGCACGCGTCTACCAAAAATGGCTTATAAAAGAGGTTTTTCGCTTCATTTCCATCGCACAAAAACCACCAAAATCTCTGGATCTAAATTTGCTGGACTTTTGTGTCTTTTACATTTTGAAGAGTAAGGTTCGCACTAAAAAATACCAAAGTGTCGATTATCCCAAGAAGGCGCCTCGCCGGGAATGGGCCAAAATACCCCAGAGCCACTTTCGTGCAGCGTGTTATGGTTTTTCTGCCGTTTGAAGGCCATAATTTGTGTCAAAAGTGGCCAATTGAAACAAATATGAACTAATTCTAAAATTTGATGTTATTTCTGACATTTTTGCTTTTGAACAATTAAATTTAAAATGAAAATGACAAAGTTATAGCGCTTTACTTTGTTGCAATACATATCAGCCACCCTGTATATATATATATATATATATATTATATATATATATATATATATATATATATTCTTCACTTTAATCTGTGCAAGCCTCACTACTTACCAAATAATACCATTCATCCATGTTATAACTAGCCTCAAAGTATTGTTCCAACTAACCCAGTTGTGATTTTTTTTGTCACTAATGATATGATACTATATAACTACATTTCCAATATAATAAATCATCATTTCCTTCGCTTAAAATCTACACGAACATTTATCCTAAAATGAGCATACGTTCTCTTCACATTTATGTTTAATGTGTCAAACATTTAATAACAAACAAATTTATACAACTTATAAATATATATAAAACACAATAATTGCAATTCTATCAAATAATCTAAATGTAAGTTAATTATATAAATATACATTTTTTCTTAATTTCTGCCGGAAAACAAATATCACTATAATGATCTTCCAACAATCGTTACAAAGTATTTCTTTGTTTTTCATTCTAGTTTATTTTATATATCCCATAACAATGTTTCTATAATCTTCCAATATGCTATTATTCCAATAAAGGAAGTCGTTATTGAGAGACAAACGGGATAAACAATCAACAATTGGATCGCAAACGTAAAGTGTTTAATAAATCATATTATTTGTGACTTGAAAAATCAATGATAAATTTATTAACTTCAAGCGCATTGACTTTAAATACCTGTCTTCCAATGGTGTTATTTGTTCCTTTAAAAATTTGCATACACAAACTATGAATGCTTCATAAATTTTATTGATGTGCGCCCAGTGTATAATAATTAATATAAGAATCAGAAATACCTCTATTGCAAAACATTAACTGTGCAGCATTAGGTACAATATTTTTTTCGAAATCGGTGGTTAAATTTTCTTCTGTTTCTAGAAGCTATATAATTTTAATTCTCCACAACTATCGCTTATGTTACGCAAGTGCATTTCTAGACCAATTTTGAATAGGCATTATAAATATTCATTACAATCTCAAAATTTTATGCCTAGGAATGTGACAAGTGTATAAGCTCAGTTAATTCAATATTTAATAATTAACTCAGTACCAATATGTATGGCTTAAAGTCACCAAACTTCTTAAACCAAAATTCCAAAAACATTCGTAACTCACTTTTTACACCAAATCTTTTTTTTAAATTACATTAATCAAGCCAAAATGTATCACTAAACACTTTGTCTCCATACATAAACAAGACGAGTAAATGTTAAACACAAATAACAAACAACTGTTCACTCTCTCGTCAGTTTTCATTCTTAGCACCCTGGTGGTGCACCATCCGCCCAAGGCTGAAGACCATGCAGGGCCGCCAATGGTGCCCCGGGAGGAGGAGCGGAGCCGGTGTGGCCGTAACCCTTGCTGATTGCTTCCGCTTGCAGAGATAACATCAGACGGTTGGCCGCTTGCCGCTCAGCTTCGCGTTCCTCAGCGGTTTGACGCCTGAAAAGAAAATTATGTTTTTTTAATATTCAAACACAAAATGTATCTATTGAAAATAAAATCTTAACTTTACGAAACAATTTTACGAAAAAATTATGAAAATGTACTTTTTGTCCGCTTGGAATTTTAAAAAAAGTTTAAAAGCTGATAAAACATATAGTTCCAAAAATATAAGATAAACTAGTGGGGTGTATGGCATCGTTCCTTAAGGCAAGTTGCTGGAACTTCCCGTACCGTAACTGAATGTTCGAGGAATATTAAATGTTTTTAAATAGATTAGTATAAATATTTTAACATTGCCCATGTAGAAATTAATGTGGTCTGAATCTACAAGCAATATACAATCTACATTGGTCAAATTTGAAACCAATATCGGCTGGTCATAAAAATTGAACATTTTTTATATTGAAGCCATATAGGTAAACCAACATTGGTCTCTATTGGTCTATATTTGGAAATTTGGAACCAATGTTGCCTACAAATTGATGAATGTTGGTAGGTAATATACCATTAGACAGAGAGCTGGTGAACATTTTAAATTATTAATTATTGAATTATTCTGAAACTCATAACTGATGTTGAAATATTACACAAATATTTGAAGATTTGAAGTTGAAATAATATAACGCATAAATCAAGGTCATTTATTTAACAATAAAACACCTGAAATTTATTTATTTATTTATTTATTTCTGAAATGAACATATAAGTAAATTTATTAACAATGTTTTTGTGGAAATTCATTTATTAAATATAAACAATGATACAAATATATAACTGCATTAAAAATATGATTATTTATAAAACACAAAATGTGTCATAAATATTGATTATTTTTTTAATAGATATTTATTAATACATATCAAGTAAATTTTTTTTATAACAATAACAAAAGCATATAAACTTTCCTATTTATAACATCATCACTCGATAAAACATTTCACAGCATCTGAACATATTTTATTTGTTGTTAATATATTTATTATCCATTATGAAATATTTATTTAATCGTCTAGAACAGTCATTGGGAAACCTACCTTACATTTGATATATATCAAGTAAATTATAATCAAATAACAGTAGCAAAAGCAAATTAATTTAACTATTTATAACATCGTCACTCGATAAAACACTGTACATCAGCTGAACATATTGTATTCATCGTTAATATAAATATTATTCATTATGAAATATTTATGAAAGCATTGAAATGAGATTATGAAATAGGATTGACTTAACTGTTTCCTTTAGAAATGATAACTTTTATCTTATCGTCTAGAACAGTGACTGGGAAATTTTTTCAATCATAACCCCAAAATATTTTTGACCAAGTTTGCATTGTCATTTAAAACTTGTATTACTTGTTAATATATCTATTATTCATTATGAAATATTTATGAAAGCATTGAAATGAGATTGTAAAATAGGATTGACTTAACTGTTTCCTTTAGAAATGATAACTTTTATCTTATCGTCTAGAACAGTGACTGGGAAATTTTTTCAATCATAACCCCAAAATATTTTTGACTAAGTTTGCATTGTCATTTAAAACTTGTATTACTTGTTAATATATCTATTATTCATTATGAAATATTTATGAAAGCATTGAAATGAGATTGTAAAATAGGATTGACTTAACTGTTTCCTTTAGAAATGATAACTTTTATCTTATCGTCTAGAACAGTGACTGGGAAATTTTTTCAATCATAACCCCAAAATATTTTTGACCAAGTTTGCATTGTCATTTAAAACTTGTATTACTTATTAATATATCTATTATTAATTATGAAATATTTATGGAAGCATTGAAATGAGATTATAAAATAGGATTGACTTAACTGTTTCCTTTAGAAATGATAACTTTTATCTTATCGTCTAGAACAGTGACTGGGAATTTTTTTCAATCATAACCCCAAAATATTTTTGACCAAGTTTGTATTGTCATCTAAAACCTTGTATTCCTTGTTAATATATTTATTATATATCATTTTATATTATCAATATGAATAATTTATGAAAGCGTTAAAATGAGATTGTCAAATGTAATTGACTCTACTTTTACCTTAAAAAATAATTACTTCATATCGTAGTCTAGAATCTTGCTATGCAAATGTACAGATTTATTGACATGCCACATTGCATTTATTATTATCAAACATTATGACTATTCTGTCAAAATTTATATCTTTCCTTTCTATAACTTATTTAGTTACAAACTTTTGATAAAAACCTTTTCGATAACATTTTACTACTAAGCAAACCAGTTTCTCTATTTTCTGCGCTTACAACAATATTACCTGAAAATAAATAAGAATGCGTTTTAAATGCAGAAGGAAATAATTATATTATAGCAACTATTGAAACTTACCTTTTATAAATATGAAAGTATAGAAATTTTTTCTCTCTACTATATTATTATTTCCTGAAAATAAGTAAGTATAAGTTTTAAATGTATAGACAGAATAATATTGAGAAGTATTATATGCATTTATACCTGGTAGTAGAATGCGCGTAAAATTCTCCTTGCCAGAAATTAGGTTATGTTATGTTTGATGTCTATAAAATATTTCACATAATATATACGGCAGATTTCTCAATGCTGTTAAACTCCTGATCAAATTAGAAAATCTTAGTGTAAAAAGGTTATTGAAGACATGCAAATCTTTTTGAAAATATTCTCAAAAATTCCAGCTTCAGACATATAATAACATGAGACACGACACAACACTTCTCACTGTTATATTTTATTTACAACTTATAACTCATGACACAACCTACACACATACACACATTATCACTATTTTTTTTATTAAAACATAATTTGACTATTTACAATCGAAAATAAAATACATTTCGTCAACTGACGCTCAGACGCTTCTTGTCAATGCATTAAAGAACCATTTTGTAGTATTAATGCGCTTCAAACTTCGTACATTCTAGAATGATTCGTCCGCGCCAAAAAGTAGAAAATTCGTAGCTTTATTAAATGCAAGATATTTAATAAATTCGTAAAGAAACCACAATTTATATTATTATTCATTATTAAATTCGTCTTACAATACTTAGTTTTTCTTTCATACAACTAAACTTCGTATTGTAAACAGTTTGGAAAATAAGCTACTCCTGTAATTTAAGAAAAAATTCCAAATTCATATTGTCATAAATAAACCATATAAAGTATTATACATTGTTAGAATCGTCTCAAAATTTTTAATTATTCTTTCATATATCACAATTCCGTATTTCAAACGGTTTGGCCTATGGGCGAGTTGCAGTGCTAAAATTCAAGAAAAATTGAAAAATCTGAAAATAATTATATGAACACACATATTGAATTATATATCATTTTATTCGTAATTTTATTCCGCATCTTTCGTCCGAATCAACTTTTTACGTATCTTTTACATTTTAGCTTGTAGTATTGAATATTTGTGAATAATCACATGGTTAAATATTTAAAGCCTTATGTCTCGCGTATATTGCTTTCATTCTGTACGAGTCGTTGGCCAAGCGGTAGCGTTGCTGACTCTTAGCCTCGTAGTCTCAAGTTCGATCCCAGACAAGATTTTTATTTTAAATATAATAACAATAATTAGGATTTTTTTAATTTTTAATTTGGGCTAATTTGATTCAGAATGACAAAATTCGACAAAACATATTATTAGCAATGTGGATTTTCCCAAGAAAACAAACCTCTATTGTGGGAAACAATATTTATTATTAACATGAGAACAATATTTAATAGTCAATTATAAAAAAATGTTGCATCAATATTTATTTTTTATTTTGAGGACAATATTTATTAGCTTATGATAAAAAATTTTGTACCCGATGATAAAATTTTTTGCATAAATATTTATTTTTCAATTTGACGATAATATTTTGTACCTGTTGATAAAAAATGTTGCATCAATATTTTTATTTCAATTTGTGGACAATATTTGTCAGCTGATGATAAAAAAATATTGCACCAATATTTATATTTCACTTTGAGAACAATATTTTTTAGCCTATGATAAAAATGTTGCATCAATATTCATATTTCACTTTGGGAACAATATTTTTTAGCCGATGATAAAAAAGTATTGCATCAATATTTATATTTTAGTTTGAGGACAATATTTATCAGCCCATGATAAAAAAATATTGCATCAATATTTCTATTTTATTTTGAGGACAATATTTATCAGCCGATGATAAAAAATATTGCATCAATATTTCTATTTTAGTTTGAGGACAATATTTATCAGTCGATGATAAAAAAATATTGCATCGATATTTATTCTTCTATTTGAGGACAATATTTATTAGCCGATGATAAAAAATATTGCATCAATATTTCTATTTTAGTTTGAGACCAATATTGGACAAGGCCATTTATAGAGATTATTGCCTCAATATCGGCTGACGTTGGCCTGATCGATTAGTTGATATCATCACAGAACCGACGTTCGCCGATATTTGTGCAATATAGGTAATCACGGCCACAGAAAACCAATATTGGTAATATATTGTACCGATATTAATTTCTACATGGGTGTCTGATACATATTTATAAGAATTATATAAACTGAATTGCAAAGTTGAAATTATTTGTTTGAATTATATTAGAACTTTAGTCAAAATTGAAATTAAAATTTAAATTATTTTTGATATACCAAAAAAAATTTTTTTTTGAAAAAAAAAAAAAACAATTTTTGAAATAAAAAAAAAAATTTTCCAAAAGCAATTATTTTGTAAAAACAAGCAAAAAGTTCTTTGAGTCATTCAAATCGGACGCTTGGTTCTTTCTAAAACTGCCATTTTTTGCACATTTAGCTTTGTATCTTCGAAATAGCTCGACCGGCCTTTGCCAAAATCTAATCACCTCTTATCCCTCATCATTACAAGTTGAATTTTTTTTATTATTGGGCGCACGGTTCAACTGATTTGAATGTTTCAAAAAAATTCGGCTCCTATTGTTTGGAAGATGTGCTGATTAGTTTTTAGTAAACACAGGT